ATCTGTTCCCGCAATGAACCCCATATTTCCCACCATCCTTTCGTAATAATGCACACAAAAACAAACAAGTCAAGTGGTGTTTTTGTGCATGAACCCCAATTCAAGCAGCGTTGCTCATACTGCCGGCGACACTCCACACCCATGGTCGGCCAATTTTTATTATCCACAAAAAAAAAAAAAAAAAAAAAAAAAAACACAACCAAAACCCACAGTACCAGAACCCCCCTCACCCTGTGGTGGCCACCGTCAGTTTGCCGTCCTCCCCAACCAATGACACTTCAACAGAGTCCGATCAACTTGCGGCCATTATCAGCAAGTTTCCATCATTAAAAATTATTAAAAAAACAAACAAACTTACCCAATATCTACTCTAACGCACTGTGTTCAAGCAGCCAATTTCGCACACATGCAATATAATTTTGCACACAGCCAATTTCTTACGAAGTCTACTTGTTTCCTCAATCGATGCATATCGGTGACTTCGTCTTGGGGTTCCGTCCGCTATAGCTTCGTGCTTGCTCGCCGGTGTCTTCTTCTTATGTCATCGGACGGGTATTCTTCGCTTTCTCCCCTCGTGCTTGCTCTTCCCACTATGTTTATCGTGCAATGCGGACACATTGACTAGACACCCCCCGTTTAAACCCTACACGGTACAGTCCCGGTGACTTCGGCCTTTCCTTTCCCATCGTGCACAAACATTTACCTAATTACCCTTTTTCCCCCATAATTAATTATTCCTTCAGTTACTTGTCTTATTTAGTGACCTTTTAATTTCTCACATTGTAAACTTTACAGCCGTTAGATGGTGTGATCTCATGGTTGCAAATTGTCCACAGACCTCACCTAACACAATAGCCTCACTTGAACCTCACCATATATATATATATATATATATATATATATATATATATATATATATATATATATATATATATATATATATATATATATATATATATATATATATATTATGGTAAGTATAATCTATTTTGTGTCAATCATATTATATATTAAGTATAAAAATATATATGTATGTAAATTACCATAATAGTTACACCGAAAAAGGTGACAATACATAATTATTAAGCAATAATATTAATAATTAATTATTAAGGCAAGTACAATTGATTTTGTACTAATAATATTATACATTAATTACTAATAATATTGTACTAAAAGCTGGGAGTCTATATAGTACAACTCTTTTCTTAAAAGTTAAAAAGGACAACTCTAGAAGCATTGGGTGGCTGCTAACTGTTAATCACCCTGCTTTTATTTTATTTATTTATTTATTCTAGGAAACCTTAAAAAAAAAACTTGTACCAATAATTTTACTCTAATCATCCAACCATGATATACAACATAGTACAATGTGGGGGAAACGAAATAGATTTGAGATGACTGCATTCTTTGTATTTAACAAACTGTAGCATGGCATCAGACATCAATCGTGTACTAAATTAAAAAAAAAAAAAAAGAAAAAAAATATCAAGATGGTCACAATAGCAAGCACTCAAAGGATCGGGAAATACACAATCCTTATTTGTCTTGCATGGCAATTCATTATTCTTCTTTGCTTCACCACCACTCCAAATACCTGCAATCGTTATATCAACTCACAATATTAGTGTTTTCACACATCTAATAAGCATGTATGTTCTCTCTTATATTTTTAATGTAGACTATTAAAATATATCATTGTGAAGTTGAAGATCTGATTTTACCAGAGAAATTAATTTAATGTCAATATATGATATACCCATAGTAAAATATTTTATGGGTGAAAGCTATAAAAGATGAATGGACTTACATGAAGCAACCACCAATAGAAGGAAGAGACTTGAAAATAGTTTGGAACTTGAAAGTCATGAGGAAGCTAGATGATATTGGTATAAAGAGATTGATAGTGATTAATATATATATATATATATATATATATATATATATATATATATATATGGGAAAAAGGTCAAATACATTCTTAAACATTATAGGAAAGTACAATTAGGGCCTCAAACATTTAAAAAGTTCAATTAAACACATAAACTTCATAAAACCAATCAAATAGGTCCACTTAGCAAGTAACCAATATGTTACCGGTAACTATGTCATCTTTGACCACCATTATCACCGTTGACTGCCATCTTCAACACTAATCCAAAAAAATACACCGGAAACCGATAGCCGGCGTCCAGCGGCATCCTTCTCCAAGAAGAAGGCAACTGGTAGCTTTCTTCTTGGAGGAGGAGGCGACGTTTTGGTTGCCTCCTCCTCCAGGAAGAAACGTCGCCTCCTCCTCCAGGAAGAAAGCAACCGGCGTCGCCTTCTTCTTGGAAGAGGAGGCGACGGTTGGTCGCCTCCTCCTCTAGAAAGCAGGGGACTGGTGTGGCCTTCTTCCTGGAGGTGGAGGTGACGCTTGGTCGCCTCTTCCTCAGTTAAAGAAGCCACATTGGTTGCTGACTGAGGAAGATGGTGACCGGAAAACGGTCGTCTGTGACCGATTTAACCATGTGATATTTAATTACCGGGTATTATCAGTAGATTTTTTTGAGTTATATTAATGCTATTACTAAAGTGAGTAACTGACATAATTATTCTATAGAGTAGTACGCATCTCCACTAAGCCTCGAATCCACAACCTCCCAAATGAGAAAACAACTTGATCTCACTAAACCACAAGGTCATTGGCTATTTTTATAGAGTACTTAATGTTTAGAAATAATTAATTTTTGGTCTAAGAATTGAGTAATTTGATTTTAATAATAAATTTATCAATTACATAATACAATGAATTTATTTATTTATTTCCTACCATTGTAGTATTAGAAAAATAATTGGGAGAAGAAGAAAAATAATTATATTTATTTTCTCTGTCTTTATTTATTTATTTATTTTTTTGAAACTTCTGTCTTTATTTTTAATTTACTTGGTAGAAAGCACTTGTACAAGTATCCATTTTCTGCCACTTTAATTTGAAGATGAAAAATACGGGAAGGAGCCATTGTAATAGTAAATTATTTAATTATTTAATTTAGTCCACTAATTCTAATAATTTTTTTTTTTTTTTTTGAAAATAATAATTTTTTTTATGAATTATTATTTGTTTTTATTATTGTACTTGATAGTTATGGATGTAGTGTCATTTAATCTTGGACCCGTTAATCCGTCGATGTTTGTGTTTCAATCTAGACATCATTGTATTTCAATATGGAATAATGAAGAATTTCATGCTCGAATAAAATTATCAAGATACGATGGGTAGGTTTTTACTGGCGAAACTCGAGAATCCCGAATGATTGAATATTTAGGGTCCGTTTGGAAAGCTGGAAAATGACTTCTGGAAAATGACTTCTGGAAAATGAGTCATTTTCCAGAAGTCATTTTCCTTTCCTGTGTTTGGCTGAACAATGGAAAACTGTCTTTTGGTGTTTGGTTCATTTTCCAGAAAATGATGGAAAACTGTCTTTTGGTGTTTGGTTCATTTTCCAGAAAATGAACAGAATGGAATTGTTATTCGATAAATATATTTTTATTGTTTTTTGTATAATATAACAATTTTTATTTCAAATTCCATGCTACATAAATTTTAGTTGTATTTAATTCGAATGTCTTTGCTCTCAATCTATCTTTCTAGTATTAAAACTATTGTCATAATATGACAATTTCAAACCATAATTACATGTTAGAAACAACATAAAGGAATCAACAAAATCAAGTATTGAAAATTAAAATCCACAAAGTCTTAGGATCCAATATAATCAAGTATTAAAGATCCAACATAACCAACCAACTACAAAGCATACATAAAAATAAGTCTTAAATATTACAATCCAAGTCTTAACATCCATGTTAACCAACAAAAAAAGGCATAGAAAATTTAATCCGAAGAAGAAATAAATTTCTCAATCCATTTCCTCTTCAAACTTGCATTCTTCGCGTTGAAAATCCTCGCTTGAACCTCATTTGTCATCAAGTATTCAAATGCCTTACATAGGTCATCCTCATGAAAGCCATCACCTATGCTCATCACATCCGCAAACAACTGATTTTCATCAATGCCAGTATTCAAAGATTTAATTGCTGCGGCAATGCTACCAAGTTGTTCAGCAATTTCATCGACCTTCAAGTCAAGTGACTTTCGCTTACGAAAGGATCTTTGAGACGACGCAGTTGATGCAGATGTTCTTCCCTTACTTTCTTCATCATTTCCTTCAGGCAGGGTTTCATCATTGTTATCCGGCAACATCTCATCATGAGGGCCATCTAAAGTAACATCTGCAAAAGATTTTGCAAAACGTCCTATGGCACAATCTCTGCCAGCGACAATGCACATCTCATCGTAGTAGTCAATCTTCCTGTTCAACAATGTTTCATACTTGGGAGTTGCCTATAAATAAATAATAAACATGAGATATTTTCTAATAAAAAAACATTAGATTTATGCAATAGTCAAATTATGATAATAAAATATTACCGTGATAAGCTCAATATACGGGGCTTCATCACATGTAATCATTTTCAAGTTATCATCCCATCCAAGACCACTCATCCCCTTCAGCTTGCATATCATCATCCATGTGTTCTTCACTGTTTTCAAGTGATTCTCAACATGTTTGACTTCACATGCAACATTAAATTGTTCAGATATGGTAGATGCAACACGATTGAATGAAGATGTTCTAAAATTGTTAGTTGGATTATTGGGATTCCTAGCCTCTTCAGCTAATATCTTTAAAAATACGCCCTCCATTGGCTTTGTCCACCGAAATTGTCTAGAAGTGGCAATTCCCTTTCCCTTATTCATGTTTCTATAATAACATAAAAACAATAACAACCAACGTCAACCAATGAAACATAATATCCATTAACAAAGCATACTCATGTCCATATAATAATATCCAATAACAAAGCATAATCAAGTACACAACAATAAGAAATGTTCAACAACGTAACTAATAATATCCAATAACAAAGCATACTCAAATATATGAAACTAGACACTAGTTCCTAATAAGAAATTCATTCCACATTTGTTCTGCGATCTCATCTCTCTTTGCATTCCATTGTCTAACTTCTTGTCTTTCTTCTGTTTGCGTATGAGATAAGGGCAAGAAGTTATCGTCATCAACATCAACTGTTGCTTGATTAAGCTCATCATTAGGACCAACTCCCATAATATGGTTATGAATTATACAACAAGCTAAAACTATATCCACTTGTGTCTGGTAATCCCAAAAAGGTTCAGCATCTAACACACGGAACCGTTTCTTCAAAATTCCAAACACTCTCTCAATAGATGTACGTAAGGACGAATGACGAAGATTGAAAAGTTCTTTCTTATTCTCAGGACGATGAGCACTAAACTCTTTCAAATGGTATCTAACACCACGGTATGGAGTAAGTATTCCATTCCGTATGCCATATCCAGCATCACCAAGATAATATTTCCCTACAAGTTTACATAATTTGATTACTTATATGCAATAACAAACAACACAATGTAAAAAGTGATTACATAATTTTATTTTATACCTTCTGGAATTTTAAATTTATTTGGACGTGTGAGTGCATCGTTCAAGACTCGAGAATCATGTGCACTACCTTCCCACCCAGCTAGCACATAACAAAATCGCAAATCAAAAGTGACGGCAGCAAATACATTTTGTGTTGTTCCACCCTTACGTCCGCGAAAACTTCCTTGCATATTAATTGGCACGGATGCACGAATATGGGTTCCATCTATTGCTCCTAAACAATCTTTGAAATAGGGATAAAATCGCGGATTGCTAATGATTTCATGAGGAGTTACTTCACCGTCCGGTAATACTATGAGGTTCGTATACAAAGATAAAATGGCTCTCAAAACACTTCTATAGTAACGGTGAATTGTCTCAATTGACCTATAATACCTTGATCCAATTACTCGAAAGCGTACATTGTGACCTATTATATGTAAAAATATTAAAACTTGTTCCTTAATACTTACGACTCTAGTTGTGCGTAATAAGTTCTTAGTAGCAAGAAGGTCACACAATTTATAAAAGGAAATAGGTCGCATTCTAATAACGCTAATGCATTTGTTATCACCCTCACACAAGATACTATTTATGTAACTCTCTCGCTCATTATCTCTATTGACAATGTCATGTTCTATTTGGTTTCTATTCCTAAGTTGTTGTAATAGAAGAACTCCCATAGCTAGTATAGCACTTGCTGCACCCATAACAGTTGCACGCACATGATTTCTATCCATCTATACACAAAAAAAATGATAACAAATAACCACAATTAAAACTAACACATAGGTCATAACCACACAATAATTAGTGATCAAAATCAATAAACCAAATAAGCAGCAACCAAAGTGTATTATAAGCAGCAACCAATATACAAGTTCTTCAAGATCATGTATAATCAAATATACTGTATGTATGTGTTCAATGAAACCATCCATCTCAAAGTTAGAATAGCTATGTTTAAGATCATGTATAATCAAATCAAATCTACTGGCAATCAAATCTGCTGGCATCAAATCTACTGGTATAGCAATCAAAGCATACAAGTTTTGAAATTTTTTTTTTCTTCACTGATTTCCAGTGGGTTTCCGATGCGAAACCAGCGAGCTCACTGGTTTCCCCGCCGGAAACCCACTGGTTTTCGGCGGGGAAACCAGTGAGCTGGTTTCGCATCGGAAACCATTTCTGGTTTCCGATGCGGAAACCAGAGGCACTGGTTTCCCCGCCGGAAATCAGTGGGTTTCCGGCGGGGAAACCAGTGAAGAAAAAAAAAAAAAAACAAACTCATAGATCTGTAAAATCCATAGAAAAAAAAAATTCAGGGTGTGTAGAGATGAGATATACCTCAATAGCTTTTCTAGTGTTGTTGAAGCTTTTGTGATTATGGATTGATGGAGGAGGAAGTGTTGGTGAGTTGTATTGCAAATGTTGAAGAGGAGGCAGAGCTCTGTTGAAAATGGGAAGAAAAGAAGATGGAAGGAAAATGACTTCCCCCAAAAAAAAGGGGAAGTCATTTTCCAGAAAATTGCCTTCCTTTTCCATTGACTTCTCCTCATTTTCCTTTGACCAGTCATTTTCCAATGTAGCCAAACACCAAAAACCCGGAAAATGACTTCCAGAAGTCATTTTCCGGGTTTCCAAACACACCCTTAAGGATTGTCGGAATCTATGATTTTGTGCATATTACACTTAATTACGCTAATTTAAAACATTTTTTTTTATTTATTTATCGAAGTATGCTCAAAGGGAACAACATTCTTAAATAAGGGTGAAAATATGAATTAATATCCAATATAGTCATCAATTATAGTGGTTTTACTCAACTTAGTTCTAAATGATTTTTTGTATTCAATTTAGTCATTGACTTTGATGGTTTTACATAATTTAGTCATTTGTTAAAAATTTTATTAGTTAACTGTTAGAAATAGGACCCTAATGGTAATTTATCATCCTTCATCCCATTTTGGGATGATTCCTTCTTCCTCCCTTTATTAAGAACCACACAGAAATGCAAATCTTTGTACTCAAATCAGCTTCAACCCAAAATTTAAAAAAAAAAAAAAAAAACTGTAGGCAAATATTTATTTATTTAGGGTTGAAGTTGATTTGGGTACGAAGATTTGCATTTCTGCGTGGATATTAATAAGGGGAAGAAGAAGGAATCATCCCAAAATGAGATGAAGGATGAAAAATTACCAATAGGACCATATTTCTAATAGTCAACTAACAGAATTTTTAACAAAGGACTAAATTGTGTAAAACCATCAAAGTTGAGGACTAAATTGAGCACAAAAAATTATTTATGACTAAATTTAGTAAAACCGCTGTACTCGAGGACTATATTAGGTATTAACTCATATTTACATACGGTATAATAAAAATATATAATCATAATTTAAACATTAATCTCATATATTTGCCACAAAAGACAAAATTCTTTTGTTCCTAGGAGTTCCACACCCCTGACCTTATAAAATAAGGATGATAAATCACGATAATTCAACTATCCATTAAGTGAGAGGATGAATATTATCGTCTTATATTTTTTTCATGTATCATATCACTCGCACAATAAATCTATATATCTATATATATATATATATATATATATATATATATATATATATATATATATATAAGTAAAATCCTCCTTCACAAATTTTCCCCCCAAAACTTAGGGACATTTGTGTAATATATAAATTTAATTAATTAAAGAAATTATATACAAGATTAATTATACAAGATTAAGGAATATTTTGTGGGCCTAATTCCGTGTGAATAATAAGGAATGACGTGAGAATTTAAGGAATATCACTAAATGACTATTGAAATTTATTAATTAGGATATGCCAAGCAATACAGCAATACCATATTTCAGAAGACCAATAAGTAATCTATCTATCTATCTATATATATAATATAATAATCTATAACATATAATATATAATTAAAAGTAAACTTATTTGGTAAGCAAATTTAAAATGGAAATCCTAATTTTAATTGGTATTGGTAATTAGTAATTAGTAATAATATAATAAAAATCATAACTGTTACCTTACTCATATCTAAACACCTATATATATACATCACATTCTCTTCAATACAAACAATACCAAGTTACAAAGAACGAAATGGAATATTCTCTGCAACTGCATAGCAATGGTTTAGAGAACATGGAGCTTCGAGAAGAGGAGGAACAAGACCCATATTCTTTGTGTGAGGTGTGGCCGCCGAATCTTCCATATCCAAAAGAGCCGCTACACCACACCTGCACATTTGGTAAATCTCTATATCCTTTTTCAACTTTTTTTTTTATAAAGAATATAAAATTATACCATTGGTAAAATTTAAATTCTATCTACATATATTATATAAACTATGAACTTGGACTATTAGGGGTCATTTACCAACTTGGAAAAATGGAGAAATTGAGAAGTGGAAAAAATAAAAATTGGAGAAGTTGTTTACTAAATATCTTCTTCTAAATGCTTATTCCTTCTCCATTTTCCACTTCATGCACATTTTTGAAGAAAGAAAATTTAGACTTCTCCAAATTGAGAGATGGACATACACGCATGACCAGTACTCTTGGCCAAGAGGTCGTCGGCCTGCGTTTGATTTAGTTTTGCCTTTGCTTCACTTTAATTTTGTTTACTGCTTCAGTTTTGCCATTGCTTCATTTTTTGTTTGCTTTGCGCCAATATTATTATTATTATTATTATTATTATTATTATTATTATTATTATTATTATTATTATTATTATTATTATTTTTGTTGTAGAAATGTAAAAATGCTATATGGGATGATTGTATTTAATAAAATCATAAAATTAGAGAAATGAAGAACTAGATGAATGGGGAATGAAAATGGGAAAATTGGAGAAATGGAAAACTGGAAAAATGAAAAATTGAAAATGGAAAAACAGAGAAAAGAAGTAAACGACCCCTTAATATTTCTTTTTTCTGATGTGATGGCCCTTCCAGCACCAATAGGAGTAAAACAAGGATTTGGAGCCCTGACAATATGTTGAGAATCAGGCCGGAGTGGTGCTCCTTGACAAAAGTCTAAAGCAGCAACATATGAATATGATGTGGGTGACGCAACGTGTTGCGCAAAAAATGAAACCTGAGCATATGTTGCAGACCTTAAAGGATCTGAGGTTGAATAGTCGTGATGAAAATTAGGAAATTCAGTTTTAGCTGAAGCCAAGGTATCACCACTATTATCATAGTAACTGTTCAGGAAATAAGGAGTTACATTCATATGCAAGCATAGTTGAGATTAAAATTTTCCTCTTTATTTTCAATGTAGTATACAGAAGAAAAAAAAAATGGTCCATACGCATGAATAGTTGAAAAAAAGGTACACAAGTTTTAACTTAAGTCCCAAATTGAACAATTTTTTCTGCTTAAAACTCAAAATCAAGAAACAAATGAAATTTAACAAAACTTATTATGTAATAAAAAACAATTTGCTCAGAAGAAACATCTTTATCAATGAAATAACACAATATACTTTGAAAACATAAAGACTATACTTAAAACTCAAAATCAAGAAACAAAGATAAATACCACTAATATAAACTTATTATGTTAAAAAAAAAAAAAGTGGCTCAAGAAAAATTGAAGTACAATTATTTTCATTAACAGTTTTGGGATGAAAAAGGAAGTACAAAACATCTAACAAAGGTATGTGGTCATAGCTTTAACCTTTCTTTCTAATCAAATTTTATTTTCTTCATGAACCTGTTTCTTCAACAATATAAATCCAACAAAGGTTAAATAACAGTTTAGACATGACATGCGATTCAATATTCTGTTCTAATTAATAAAAGAATACAATCAATATCTGACAAATTAAATTAGTTTGAAATATTTTTAGGAAAATAAGGGACTGTAAAAACTAGAGTTATACTAAGCCACAACCCTTATCTTTATTGTGACGAATGTGCAGTGTTTAACTGTTGAATTCCTATGCAATCTGTAAAAAACAGATTTAGACAAAATATTTGGTAAAGAATAGAAGAAAGGAACAACCATAGATCTACAACAATCAACAATTAGATGGTAATCACGAAGTAAGTAGATAAAAGTCAACTAATGAAGGTTACCAAAACATGCATCTGGAGCTTTCCCCTTATAAAATAAGCTTTGTTCTTAAAAATTTTATTTTGTATATCATTTAAATACCACATAATAATCATTGATGTTTCTATATATAAGAAACTTTAATTTCTTAAACAACATCCAATTTCATTAAATGGTTGCAAAGGAGTTTTGGTATTAACACTTTTTAAAAATATTATCAACAATAAAGTTATTTAAATTTTATGGCGTGCATCGCACGGTGCCAAATATATTGTTCCCACTTCGTTTTTTTGCTAATCTTGAAATAAATAAACATCCATTTTTACAACATATTTCTCGTGCATCGCACGGGGGCAAATACTAGCTTTTCTAAATTATTATACAAAAAGTATCAAATATAAAATGTAAAGTTAGTGGAAATAAAAAAATTGTTATTAATAATTAACTAATTAATTAATATGTAGTAAAAAGAATAATTGACTAAGAATAAAAATGACACAAAATTTAGGCCAATTGAAATAGGAAATGACTATTAATAATTGACTGAAAATGAAAAATACTTCCAAACTGACTCAGTATATAGAGAAGAATATTAATCTCGGTTATATATTTTATAAAATATAAAGTTACTGGAAATATAAAAAAAAAATCTGTATATATATGTTACTGAAATATAGTTATGTAATATATATATATATATATATATATATATATATATATATATATATATATATATATATATAAATTGAAAATGAAATAGAATCATTTAGTATCCACAATTTATAAGGAAATTTAGTAATTAAAGATGGAAAATGTTTTGCAATACGAGATTGAAATATAAAGTTTAGCCGAGATAGAAAGAATATTAATCGATATGGAAATTAATAATTTTTACACCAAATGTTATTTTATACTAAGAATATAAGGATTGTGTAATTATAAGGTTTAGCCGAGTATGTCAAAAAAAAAAAAAAGTTTAGTCGAGCTGGAAAAAATATTAATCTCGGTTATATATTATATAAAATGTAAAGTTACTGGAAATATTAAAAAAAAATGTGTGTATATATGTTACTGGAAATATAGTTGTGTAAAGATATATATTTACAAATGAAAAATTGAATAGAATCTTTTAGTATTCCCAATTTATAAGGAAAATTGTGTAATTAAAGATGGAAATGTTCTTGCAATACGTATGAATGATTCAAAAGAAATTAATTGTGACTGATTTTGTAGCACATCTTTATTCAAAATTATAGGACCTCATTACAATACACATATATAAAGATGTAAAATTATGTATAGAATGTGTAAGGAAGATTTTGCTTAAAGATGGAAAACAAATTAGACCAATTGGAAAAGGTAATGAATATTAATAAGTCACTCAAAATTAAATATGATCCCCATATATAATTTACTGAACATTGATATTAAAAATATCTAAAGTTTCAGCATTTAATGCGTACATCTACACATTAAATATTAATTTTGGACAATTATTTGATCGAATTCAAATAATGATAACATTAGAAAATACAATCGATCCAACTCAATTCATCAATTGCATTATATTATATTCGATATAATAATTTATATCATTATATATCGATCCAAATATTCTTAAAATATTTTAACAAATCCATTTCGTGCATCGCACGGGGGCAAATACTAGTAATAAATAGTAAGAAATCCCAAAAGGATGCTTGAGCCAAACTTGGACTTCCATATATCTCTCGACTTTGCTAAACTCTCTCCTTTATAACTTTTGAGTTATATTAATTATTATTGTCAAAAGCGAACTTTCATGCTTCAATTCATGCTTAACAAAAAGTCTTATTAATTAATTATTGGCTAAAACGTAAACATGTTTGTTAATGTAGTTTGTTACGTGAGTATTTAAGTATTTTTAGTATTTATACACAAATTAGTATTTTCACCCATGCGATACACGGAATGGAATTGTTGTAATATATTAAGAATATTTAAATCGATATATAATTATTTGAGAGTTAATTTCACCAGAGGTCGTTTATCTTTCCTGACAATTCCAAATTTAATCCTAGACTATAGTTATTAATTATTACGATTTATTCTATGTTATAATTCTTACGTTAATATTCTTACTATTATTATTAACACTTTTTTTTTTGAAAATATTATTATTAACACTTAATTACTTTTAAATATTAGTATTACCACTTATATTATTATTATATTATTATCATTATTAGTTTCTTTTCAAGTTCTGTTAGTATATAATGGTCGTGAGGCACAATAATAATATAACCATAATTAAATATTCTTATATTGTATTCCGTGAGTCACAATAATAATATAACAATAATTAAATATTCTTCAATTCTATATTCTTCTATGATTTCTATTACCATCATTAATTATTCTCTAATTTATAATAATTAAATAATTTGACCAATTATAAAAATAGATTATTAAATAATGCACGGGAAAATTTTTTAATTAAAAATTTTAAAAATTCATTAATAAAACATAAGGTTCTCATAGTTTTTTTAAGAAATTATTTAATAAAGCATTTTTTTTTAGAAATTAGTGGGCCAAACCGCCTACGGCTGTTTGCGGTGGATAGATCTCGAAAAAATATGCGATTTCAGAAAAACATTTGTCCAAAACGGACAACCGAGTCAAAAGTTATGCGTTGCCGAATTTTTGACACTTTACAGCTTAAATAATAATAATAATAATCACCGGTTCAGCCGGCGAGGCGGCCGCGGAGGAGGCCGATTCCGGCCTTCCTCGCTGTGCGCAGCGGTCGCGACTTTTGCAACACTGATATATAGTATAGATTGAATAGGAATAGTATTACACAATTTAAAATTTCTGAGATTTTTTAGGAATTGGGCGGGAACTTAAAATTTTAGGATTTTGTTTTTATATATAGTATAAATTACAATAGGAATTGTATTACACTATTTTATTATAATATAAGAATTGAATTTTAACCCAGAATTATTGTACGAATATGAAAGTAGAAATCAATATATTTTATTAGGAAGAGAGATTTTTTAGGAATAGGGCGTGAAGTTAAAATTTCAGGATTTTGTTTTTATATAGATTATATAGATATTATAGATATTATAGATTATAGATTATAGATTACAATAGAATTGTATTACACTATTTTATAATATTAGAATAGAATTTTAACCTAGAATTATTGTACGAATAGGAAAGTAGAAATCAATATATTTTATTAGGAAGAGAGATTTTTTAGGAATTGGGCGGGAAGTTAAAATTTCGGGATTTCGTTTTTATATATAGTATAGATTACAATAGGAATTGTACTACACTATTTTATAATATTAAAATAGATTTTTAACTACAACCTCCCACCGCTCTGTCGGGCCGGGGTGTGGGGGGCCCTTAGGGTTGGGGTTCAGCCTTTTGGAAGAAATAGATTTTTAACGCAGAATTATTGTACGAATGGGAAAGTAGAAATCAATATATTTTATTAGGGAGAGATTTTTTAGGAATTGGGTGGGAAGTTAAAATTTTAGGATTTTGTTTTTATATATAGTATAGATAATGAATAAAATAGATATAAAATTAATCAATTATTGTAAATTAACTATAAAAAGATTATTAAAAATAACACTAAAAATAATGTTTATCAGCTACACAATACTTGAACCCTTCTAAGTCATCACTTTATTCTTCAATCCAGCACTATGCCTCAACATCAACCTAATAATAAAAGAAATTAGTTACAGATTGAAATAAAATTTAAAAAAAAGATTGAAACTGTTAATATGTTATTACCCAATAAAATTGAGAATGATGATCACCAATACCTGGCTAGAAATACTTTCTACAATATGTGAAAATTCAAGAGAAACAACTATAATAGAAAATAGTTAATAAATAAATATAAAAGGAAACTAAAACATGAATATAGCATTTTATACTGCAACATTAAAAAAATATAAAGTGCATAATCACCAAAAAAGAACTTGTAATCCTTACTTCACGTATAGAAACTAAAGTTAATAGAATGAAATGCTCCCAATTAAAAAGCCAAGCTCCAAATTGCTCTTCCTTGTTTTAGTCTTGGTGATGGAGAGCTGGGTTTTGGTTTATATTTATAGGTGATTTAGGAGTGTTTGAGTACAACATGGTGTTGAGAGATTGAGTTTAATTTTAACTGGGAATTAAGCATGCATGTGTTTAAGATTTTTTTTACTTAAATCTTAATAATTTTGCCAAGAAGTTGAGTTTTAATGGGAGTTTGAAATTTAGTAAATTTAACCGAGAATTAACGGAGAATTATAAAACTAATAATAGAGAATATAATTTTTTTTAACGGAAAAAGGAATAATATAATATTGTTGAATAGAAATATGAATTTTAATATTGTTGTATTGCTAATATTATGTTTGACTATTTTACTACTCAATCATCCATTTCTGATTGACATATGTCAAATACTATATATATGTTATAATAATGATAAAATTAACAATAATTATAATACTTGTTGCTTCATATTTCTAGTATTTGTACTGCTAGATTTATTTGTCACGCACAGAATATTATAACAGTGTTTTAATATTATCCTATTGTATTACAAATGAGAATTTTAATATAGAATTATAGTACGAATATAAATGTAGGAAAGAATATATTCTATTAGTAATTGTATTACATTATTTTACAATATTAGAATAGGAATTTTAATTTAGAATTATAGTACGAATAGAAAAGTATGAAAGAATATATTCTATTAGGAATTGTATTACTATTTTACAATATTAGAATAGGAATTTTAATGTAGAATTATAGTACGAATAGGAAAGTAGAAAATAATATATTAAAATTTGAGGATTTTGGGCGGGAAGTTAAGTTGAGGATTTTGTTTTTATATATAGTATAGAAGTATAGATTAGTAACTAGTATTTTCACTAGTGCGATGCACGGAATGGATTTGTTATAATATATTAAAAATATTTGGGTCATTATACAATTATTATACAATAATAAATCAAATATTATATAGTACAATTGCCCGTGATTAAAGACCAATTTTTTTAGCAATAACCCAATGTGAGTTAGTGTTTGACCTTGGCTTTTGTTGATAGTCATGGCATATGTAAGCATCAACAGGAATTCTTTATGCGGGAACTTGAAGGGCAATCTCTTATCGGGAGATAAGAATTTTGGTTCCTTCATGTGGCCCATTAACTATTCTTGCTTCGACAATGTGATCTGCCAATTTTGTGATGATGAGCCGCGTCCCGTTACAAATACAAAGAGACTGGACTATGTTCCGCAATAACATAACAGGTGCACTGACCTTTAATGTTAGTGAATGATTATAAAGACCCGACAATCTCGAACTATTTAAAAATTCAGGAGTATGTACTTCTGATAAATTTTCATTTTCTGATTCTGCCTTACACAAAGAGTCACAACTTAAATATGTTTGTCCTTCTACAGTATTCATGTGGCACATGTACTGATTAATTTGATCAACGACATCTAAAGTCAGCGAGAGGATCGCTCGACCTTCTAGCTGTGACTCATCAAGCTTGTCATATCTCGAGCTTGGAAAGGTTCTTTCCACTACAGTTGATATGGGATCGTGTCTACAGTGCAACAAAAAATGTGCCGGAATACTGATCTCAAATGAACCATCGTTTACAACACTAGCAATCCCATCTCTGATGTCTGCAATCCATTTTGAAAACAAATCAACCATCTGTCTATCTTCCTCTGAAGCTAAGGTCTGTAGTCTTAAGTTATTTGTGAGCCTTAATACCTTGCAATTTATCCACAAGTATGAAGAATTAATAGTTGTTCCGACAACTACTGGTCTTGTTGCTTTCAGAATAACATGTAGGATATGTCTAAAATTGCCGCCCAAAACTATTGTCTTTCCACCAAAAGTCTTTTCAGCACTACCTAATATGGAGAACCTCAATAGATCCCTCATGGTTTTGTCCAAAGCCTCAAAATAGTGTTTTTGCGTCATTAGTGCTTCATCCCATATTATCAATTTGCTCATTATTATAAGCTCATCAAGGTCAATGCATTGCGATATATTGCACATGAAACCTTCGCTCAAAGAGAGTGGTACAACAAATTTGGAATGCGCTGTCCTGCCTCCCGACAAGAGCAAAGACGCTATTCCACTAGAAGCAACATTCAGAACAAGATGGACCATCATCGCGGCAGTGGAAAACTAAATCACCTAGTAATCTGAATTCTTCGGATTTGCGATCTCTTGCCCGAAGTTTTGAATTGCTTCCTGAGCCCGGCGATGAAGCTAGTTCGCTTCCTGTAGGCTAGGAGGCATGTCGCAGGCCCTCACACCAGCTCACCACCCTGCTATTCCCAATCCACCGGTTATTCCGCAGTTTTCCCTTTTGCTTTCTGATGGGGAGCGCGTAACACCCCACTTTTCTAACTCTTAACTATAACTCTAAACAGTCATTAACAATACTAAGCAACGGAAAAACTAAAAGATATATAGTGGGAGTGTCACCGCTACAACCACCACTCTTTGGTGATTGCACAGGCTAAAAGGGGTAAAACTAGAAATAAGATTAAGTATGGGGACTAAATATAAATACTGGAAACGTAAGGGGGAAAAACGTCACCCCAAATAGTCTACATCAAATCTCAAACATAAAGTCAAAAGTCTAAAATCCATACATAACATCTGTGGAACTAGAGTTTAGATATCTCTATCTACGAGACTAATCTAACTCGACTTCTTCACACATCTGGGCCCACCTAAAAGGGGTTTTGCAAGCAACACATAGACAAATACGAAAACATCCGTTAGCACGAAGCTAAATATAACCACACTCAACCCTGTAAAGCATTCTAGCATAAACTTTGAAAACATTTGATTTCTTTATAGCAATAAGCTAATCTCAATTCATCTTAAGATTTATCACATTCTTTCTAGATGCTTGCACCCTATAATATCAGCTGGCATGCTCATGTATGTACAAGATTGTTCACATAGATTCAACAACTTATAAACTTCTCAAATAACTTAACAAGCAATTCATGCTTACGGATTGGATCAAGTTAAAAGACCATATAACAAGTGTTTACATGCTTTCACATTCTTATCACATAACTTGATAAGTAGAGCTTCTAATACAACACGATAATCATGCTCAAAGGAATATCTTAAGTCAAACTTCTCGTTATACAATCTCTTACGATGCTCTATTCGCATACAATCACGTATAACATTATGATCATACTTCTTATGCAATCTAATGCAACAATATATTCATACTCATATGCAATCTCGTGCAATTATATAATCATACTCTTATGCAATCTAGTGCAACAATATACTCATACTCATATGCAATCTAGTGCAACAATATACTCATACTCTCATGCAATCTAGTGCAATAATATACTCATACTCATGCAATCTAGTGCAACAATATACTCATACTCATATGCAATCTTGTGCAACAATATAATCATACTCTTATGCAATCTAGTGCAATAATATACTCATACACTATTTTATAAATTAGAGTACTTTTTGTGGAGGTCTCTTTGTTACTTTCTCGGGTCTCTCTTAACTCTCTTTCTTTCTCTCGAGTCTTTATTGACTCTCTTTCTGGAGTCTCTATCGACTCTCTTTCTTGAGTCTCTGTTGACTCTCTTTCTTTCAATTATACTCGTAGACGGCTTAGGGTTTCACAGAAGTGTGAATTACCCCATCAGGAATGACATAATTCCGACCCAATATCTCCTATCGTCTACGGAACCAATCTCGTGGTTCAAACTCTGTGGAATTAGGTATCGAACTATTAGTGTGCACACTGATGGACAATTTAATTAAGTCCTCGCAAGTGCACGAGTCAGTGTAGTGATAGTGTGCAAAGGCAAGGGTCGATCCCACAGGGAATTGATATTATGCAATTTAATAACTAAAAAGAGTGGAAAGAGAAGACTTTAACATAAAGTTTTAATTGCAGTTAATAAAAATTGGATAATTTAAGGTACTAGGATTAAATGCCAAAGATAACGATCAATTAAACTCAGAAAATTAAACAATGAATAATTGAATCAAAATTTAAAGGTGAACAAATAAATTATCGAGAAGCAAAAAAAATCAAAGAACAATTAAACCTGAAAAGCATAAGAACATGAATTTAAAAGGTATGGTGTTTACTCAATACTTCTCTCAAACAGACTAATAAATACTAAATTGGTCGAATTGAACTTAAATATACGAATCATGGGGAAAAACTTAATCAATTGTATTGGCAACATAAAAGCCTAAGTTAATGCAAAACTTTGTTGGCGATTTCTATCACATTCCCAGAAGACAAATGCTTAGCAATGCATAGTGACTCAGTAGCAACAAGTTCAGGCAACATCAACTTCCAAAAGACTAATCACAATCTAATTTGCAATTAAACACTAAATAAGATGGCAATTAACAATCTAATTTGCAATTAATAAGCACTAAATAATATGACAATTAACAATAATGAGTGAAGAGAAGGAAAACAATTACCAGTATAACTTTACTGCTAACCAAAAAGATTGCTTAGATAACCAAGAAACTGAACCAACACAACTCACAAAACATAATATTTCAATCACTAATTAAGTAAACTAATGATAATAAGAGTAACGAGAATGGAAATTGCCGTATAACTATCGTTGCTGCACAGACCACCAATTTGTTGCCGCCAGGAGAACTTGCCGTCACGACCGGAAGAGAAGTTGCCGATCAGAATTCGCCGACCACCAAACCAGAATTACTGTCCGCCAAAGATTCGTACGGCCAAACACTGGAAATCACCTCCGACCGGAACTGGTCCGGAGTGAACTTGATGATCCCCTTCCTCGAACGCGCATGTATTTATATTGTTTGAACCCAACAATTTTCTCAAGTTCTACGCTATAGTCGGTCAAAGCTCCGAGCAGTCACCATGCCCGAAGGAGATGCTCTTCTTCCGTTCGTTGTTTTGACTGGTCGTTGTTGAAAGAGTCTCAACCAAGAAATAATTATTACTAATTAAATAAAATACATCTTATTAAAAGCTTAAATATGTTAGAGTCCATATATAACTAATCTACAATTACTACTAAAACTAATTATTAATATATTATTATTAAATTAGAATCAAAGAATTATTGAACTGACAATTCTTATAACAAAACTAAATTAATAACAAAAACAACCCAAAAATTAAACAATATTAATAAAAACTACTTATACAATAATAAGTAAAATAACTAAAATAAGATAAAAAAATAATCAATTATTTGCAACTTAACTATAAAAATTATTTAAAGTAACAACAAAAATAATGTTTATCAAACTTCCCCACACTTATTTACTTGCTTGTCCTCAAGCAACTGCATTATTAAAAAGAAAAGAAATTAAAATAAAATCAAGCATAAGATCGAGCTTTACCCAAATAGACTTCCAAATTTATTACCACCAATGCAAAGTTAGTGCCAACTCAAAGAATCTATAAAACATTTGACTAGAAATTAAAAACTTTAACAACTAAAATGAATATAAAACGTGTGCTCGTGTGCTGACACCTCTTATATGAGCTATACAAAATCTCAATAAACAAATATGAAAATTTCACCATATTCAACCTAAACCAAATTCAGAAATATTCTATCACTGTGCAGGTGCAAAACATGAAGGAAATAAGGATCAAGGCATTTATTAAAATTGAAATGCAATTGCTCATTTCTTCCAAAATTCACTCATTATTTTTCTATTTTGACTTTTTTCAAAGAGAACTTCCCCAAAAACCTCGCCATTTTACGCCAGACTTGTTTGGGTTTTCAATTTTGTGTGTACTCATAAACCAAACCACGACACTTATTTATTTATTTATGGTACATGTGTATATGTGGCTGATTCAGCGGAGTAGAATCTCTGAAATTATTGCAAATAAAATAAATAAATAAAACACTCATTTTTATTTTTTTCATGTTTTTCAAATCTTTTTTTTTTTCACCTCACTTATGCCATAAATATGATCCTTGAACCAACACACTACACCACAATTTATAGCACTCAAAAATAGTTTAAGAATTTAAAAAAGGTAATATAAAGTGAAACCAACATATAAACTATCAAAGAAATTGTATAGACCATATAAGTGTATTTGTGATTTTCATATACTATTTATTTTTTATTTTTTGATTTTTTGATTTTTGATTTTTTGATTTGACAAAGATATAAAATTAAAGAAATTAACAACTAGTCAAAAGCAATATACACACTAAGAGCTGACAAAAACCTGCATTATTTTTATCACCGAATCACCAAATATTTAAATGACTTATGGATAAAGCTCAAACTAATGCTAGAATTTTAAAATAAAAAGGTTTAAGAAAATGAACATTAGAAAATTAAAAATTTTGAAAATTTTCAATTTTTTATGATTTGTGGGTATAATCCCTTCCCCACACTTATTTTCAACATTGTCCCCAATGTTGTGAGATGAAAGAAAATAAGACAACGAAAGTCCTCCTTTATTAAACTTTTTATTTGTAGAATTATCTTTTAGCCTTGCAATTTTAGAATAACAAGAAGAAATCGATTTACCAACGCCATTCAAAAGATTTTCTTTTTGTAGTTTTTCAAACTCCAACTTACCATCCTCTGCAAAATTCGACCCCTTAACTGCAAAAACTAGGTTAGACCTAGCAGACAAATTCATAGATATAAAAATTGGAAACTCAGCAGTTTCATCAAGCACATATTTAGTCAATCTGTCTGCTTGAACATCAAAAGGGATTGGGGGCACATAAGGATTGTGTGGTACATAAGGCTCCTCTTCCTCGAAATCTTTATTTTGCACAGGTTTGGTATTTTCAAAGAGTTCATCAATAGGGATTGGGGGCACATAAAGCTCGAGAGGCTCATAACTATAATCAGATTTATGCAATTGAGGCTCATCTTTTTCAATAACAATATCATTAACATCATTATTCAATTTTTCAATTATTTCAGTTTGTTGACAAATGATATTATCTTTGAACTTGTTTTCATTATTCAGAGCATCCTCACGTTGATTAGGTAACTTACCTGGCACATGCCCTTGCACAAATTTAGCAATTTGCTCTAAATGTGCTTCCAATCTTTTAAAGCAAGCCTCATTTTGTTGCAATCGTTGTTCATCTTCTTCTTGTTGCAACTGG